GGTTATGTCACTTCTCTCCTCGAAATTCTGCAATGGCTCCCCATTTCACTTAGAGTAAAAATCAAAGTCTTTACAGTGGCCTACTAGGCTTTATGTGCTCTGTCCCCTAGTCACCTCTCCAACATCTTCCTTCTGTCCTCCCACTCACTGTCCTGCACCAGCCACGCTGGCCAATTTACTATTCCCTGAACATGCCAGGCATGCTCCTGCCTCAGGCTGTTCCCTGTGCCTGGCACACTCTTCCCCCAAGATATCTCACAGCTTGCCTCCTAACCTCCTTCAAGTCTTCACTCAAATGTCACCTTCTGTGGAAACAAATGTCCATCAACAGATGAATGGATAAGCAAAATGTGGCACCTCACATACAATGGAATATTACTCAGCCATAAAGAGAAATGAAATCCATGCTACAACATGGATGAACCCTGAAAACATTATGCTAAGTAAGTCAGACACAAAGGGACAAATACTGTATGATCCCACTTACATGAAACAGAATAGGCAAATGTATAGAGACCACAGTTGATTAATGGTTACTAGGGGCAGGAGAAAGGAGCCCTGGTGGTGCAGTGGTTAAGTGCTCAACTGCTAACCAAAAGGTGTGTGGTTTAAACCCACCAGCCAGACCTTGGGAGAAAGATGTGGCAATCTGCTTCCATAAAGATTACAGCCTTGGAAACCCTATGGGGCAGTTCTACTCTGTCCTATAAGGTTGCTATGAGTTGATGCATCAACTCGATGGCAACAGGTTAGGGGTAGTAGGGAGGAGGGGAAAGGGGAGTCATTGTTTTGGAAGCATGGAGTTTCTGTTTATGGTGATGGAAAATTTGGCAATGAATATTGGTGATGGTTGCACAGCATGATTAATGTAATTGATGTCACTAAGTTGTATAGGTGACAAACATTAAACTGGTGTTACAGATTGAATTGTGTCCCCCCAAAATATGTGTCAGCTTGGCTAGGCCATGATTCTCAGTATAGAGTGATTGTCTACCATTTTTTCATCTGATGTGAAGTTTCCTATGTGTAGTAAATCCCACCTCTATAAAGTTGATGAGGTGGGATTAGTGGCAGTTATGTTAATGAGGGAGGACTCCATCTACAAGATTAGGTTGTGTCTTAAGCCAATCTCTTTTGAGACACAAAAGAGAGAAGCGAGCAGAGAGACATGGGGACCTCACACCACCAAGAAAGTAATGCCAGGAGCCCGCGTCCTTTGGACCCGGCGTCCCTGCACTGAGAAGCTTCTAGACCAGGGAAAGATTGATGACAAGGACTTCTCCCCCAGAGCCGACAGAAAGAAAAAGCCTTCCCCTGGAGCTGGCACCCTGAATTCCGACTTCTAGCCTCCTAGACTATGAGAGAATAAATTTCTCTTTGTTAAAGCCATCCACTTGTGGTATTTCTGTTATAGCAGCACTAGACATCTAAGACAACTGGCAAATGTGTTATATATATTTTTATAACAACCATTAAAAACAAAAACTGCTCAGGCAAAAAAAAAAAAAAAGTCACCTTCTCAGTGAGGCCTTCCGTGACCTGTCTATTTTAAATTGTAATTCCTGCATTTTGGCACCTTGTCCCTCTTTTAAAATGTGCTTTTTCTCATAGCACCTTTTACCATCTGACCTACTGTATATTTTACTAATTTATTTTTGTTTATTGCCGGTCTGTCCCCAGTAGAATGCAAGCTCCATGAAAGCACTTAAAAAAAAAAAAATCTATTCACTACTGCATCCCTAACACCTAGAACAGTGCCTAGTATTGGGTGTCCAGTAGATATTTGTTGAATGAATGAGTGAATGAATGAATAAGGACATGCACATGTTTGGGGAAGTCTGCAGGAAGGTTCTCCTGGTAGAAGGTTCTCCTGGCAGAGTTCCTAAACAATGGTTGCCTGAAGAATCATTTGCAAGGACAGATCTCTGAACTGCAGAGCTGAGGACCAGGTAGGGATGGCAAATGGCCCTAAGCTGAGGAAGAGAAGACTCTGGCCACCACCAATTGCCTGCAGAATCCAGATGTCCACAGGGTGGGTCAGGCATCCCTTGTCTCTTTCCCCTACCTTTGCCAGACTTAACTCTACACATCCAGGCAAGCATCTTCTCAGACAAATCCCACCCCATTTCAGTTGTATCCATCTTTTCAGTAGTTCCTGTACTTTTAATTCCACCTCTCCTTATCCAGGCCAGCTGAGGCCCTAAAACAAGCACTTTGCTGCCTCCTTGTGGCTCCTGTGGTAAAGACACTCTCTTCCGAAAAGTGAGGCCACAGGGACCTTCACAGGAACTCTTGGAAAGGGGGCTTCAGGAGAGGAGTGGAAGACAAACCTGAGCCTTCTTGACCCCATGGCGACCCTGAATTATTGACATCTGCCCCCCTCACACAGACACTGCAGCCAAGAGCAATGACCATCCCCTCCAGCCCTGACAGGTACCAGCTGAACTCAGACTTTGGTCAACTCTGGGAAAAGAATTTGAGGCAATAGTCAGATTCCAGGGCCTGCCTTGAGGGCCCTTCAGGTCAGTGACCAGTATGTGCAGCCTCCATCTACTCTCAATTCAAAACAGTCTTTGAGAGATGATGGAAGTTACCAGCTAGCTCAGGGACGGGAAGTGTGTGCAAAGAGGGGAGGGGGATGGGTGTGATACAAGAGGGAGGGGTAGGAGCTGTGCAGAACTGGAGAGCCCATGCTGTGTTGAAAGGATGCTGCTCAGTTGAGCCACTGTTGTTCCAGCCAACTTGTTTTTTTCAGGTAACAGAAATCTACCTAAGCTAATATCAGCCTCCAAGTTGGGACTGTTTTAGAATGCTACTCAGTTATGTTGTGGACCGATTTGGGTTTTGGTGCAGATAGGGTAACTGTGGCCCACCAAAGAGATTGGTCAGTTTTGCCATCTCACTGGGCTTGAGGTGAGCCATCCCAGAGGCAGAGGAGAGAGGATCTCACCACTACCATGGAAGAACAGCCAGGAGCCGAGAGTGCATCCTTCGGACCCAGGGGATCCCTGCACTGAGAAGCTCCTGGAACCAGGAGACAGAGAGAGAGCTCTAGAAGTGGTGGCAGAGAAACGACGGCAGGAGACGGCATGGTGGGCTTCCAGGCCTACGGAGCGAGAAAGCTGAGTGCCTTTGGGCAGGAGGCTTGCTGGCGGAGTAGAGTGCCTCTGGGCACTTATTGGCAGAGCTGAAAAAGCTTTGTAACACTTGCCTGAGCAGGGCAGAGGCTGAGGGCTAGAGAGAGGCGTGCCTTCGAGCACAGCTGAGAAGAGGCTGTCCTGATGGAAGAACTGTATCCTGAGCGTTCCTGAACCTGAATTCTAACCTGTTAACTTCCCTAGAAAACCCTGTAATGATGAGTATTGTCTGTGAGTTCTGTGTAGCCATTGCAATGAATTATTGAACCCAGCAGAGAAGCAGAGAACGCCGTGGGAGGGACGGTTGGTGTCAGAATTGGTAAAGGTGGCGGAGAGAGGAGGACTGTCTGACCTGTGCCTCATAGGAATCAGCACTGGGCTGTTGATCTTGATTCTCCTTCCTCCTTGTGGAGTTAGAGGAGGTCAGACACCACCCCCACGTCGTTTTTACATCTGTCATTAATTCTGGAAAATTCTCTGAGATTATCACTTCAAATATTTCTTCTGCCCCATTCTGTCTACCTTCTCCTTCTGGGACTTTAATTACGTATATTTTAGACCATTTGGTATTGTCTCATACCTTTTGGGTGCTCAGTTTTGGGTGTGCTGTTTGTTTGCTTTTACTGTTTTTTTATTTTGTGGTTTCAATTTAAGTAATTTCTACTGACTAATCTTCAAGTTCATTGATTCTTTCCTCTGCTTTTGTCCAATTCACTGATAAACCTGTTGAAGGGATTTTCGCCTCTGATATTATGGTTTTGACTTCTAGCATTTCCAATGAACTCGTTTTTTGTAATTTTCTACTCTCTGCTCAAATTCCCTATCAGTTAATGCATGTTATCCATCTTTCCCACTAGACCAGGTCCTTTAACATATTAATTATGGCTATTTCAAAGTCCCCAACTGATAGTTATAACCTCTTGGCCATATTCATCTCTTTTTTGAGAAGATGACTCCTCAGATCATGAAGTCATGCTCCTCTTTTTTCTGACTTCTTCCAAGTAAGCCTCCCTCAGTTCAGGGGACACATCAGACCCTGCATGGCTTCCTCTCCCTAGCTCTTTGGCTGGGTTGTTTTCAAAAGGGTTTTATCCCTTCCACCTCATCAAGGCCTCCTTGAAGATTACAGTTAGGACTAAAGTAGACTCTTCCCTCATGTTCCCTTCCACGTTAGTGTTGGTTCCTCACCTTGGAAGTCCCTGAGGCCATAGTCATGTGAGCAGAGCTATGGCCAACCCCCAAATCTGACTTGGAGAAATAATCCTTCCTGTGCCTTGGCTTCCCTGAGTTGTTTTTTTTTAGGGGTGGGGGTGGGGGGGTGGAGGCAATATCTTGTTTGACTAGATATGTCAACTTTGCTTTAAAGAAATGGGACTCTGGTATTGCATCTAAGAACTGCATCACAAGAAAAACTGTGTGTGTGTGTGTGTGTGTGTGTGTGTGTGTGTGTGTGTGTATGTATATATATATATACCAGTTGCTGGTCAATTCCGATTCATGGTGACCCCATGTGTTTCACAGTAGAACTATGCTTCGTAGGGTTTTTAATGGCTGTGACCTTTCAGAAATAGATTGCCAGGCCTTTCTTCCAAGGTGCCTTTGGGTGGATTCAAATTGCCAAACTTTTGGTTAGTAGCCGAACATTTAACTGTTTGTATCACCCAGGGACTACAATATGTGTGTGCGTGTGTATACACACACATACACACACACATATATGTATATATACATATATCTACTTGGTTTTCAACTCTCTTTGCTTCACATCTCGGCCAATCCAGGCCTTCTTTGCCTTCAAGGATATGAAATTGTTGACAAGGCAGGAGGTGAATCTGTCAGGCTCTCTGCTTGCCAGGGAGCCTGCTAGAGGATGTCCAGAGAGTCGAAGTCCTCCATCACCAGAGCAGGCTTAGCCACTAGGCACCTGAAGCACAGTGCCAGGAGCCTATGAAAACATATGAAATCTTTAAAGTGTTATTGGTGCCAAAATACAAAAAAAAAGGAAAAAAATAAATATTGAATGCTTATAAAACAATGTTGTTAGTTTCATTCACTGTCAAATTTAATATTCAAAATATTCTCATTACATTTATAAAACTTGTTAGATTTTGTCTCTGTGCATGATGCTTGCTGAGAAGCCACAGCCAACTACAGATAACTAACTTAGTCATAACTGAAGAATTTCCAAAGCAAAGTTATAAAAATACTTTCAAATTATTTAGAGCAATAAATTTAATGTGAGACCATTTTAATATGTTGGATATGATGGAGGTGAGGCTGCCCAAAAAGAACGAGCCTGGGGTCTGGGAGCTGGAAACAGTCCTGTCCCTGACTGCCACAGCTGCCCTCTGTGCCAGGTGTATGACCTGCATCAGGAATGCCTCTCACCATTTGCACATCACCAGGCATTCTTGTGATATCTTAAGCCATGGCCCAGACATCAAATCCTGCTCCTGACATCATCCCTAGAGCCAGCTATTCACACCCTACATCTCCTCTTCTTTCTAGAGTCTCAACCTTGACCTGGAAGCAAGGATGGATGCCCATCCTAAGAAACAGAATCAGCGGACTGTGAGTTCTCTGAGGATAGCAGTCATTTCTTTCTTTTCTTTTTTATTGTTGTACAAATATATATAACACGACATTTGCCAATTCAGTGTTTTTCATGTATATACAGTAATTTAGTGACAGCAATTACATTAAACATGTTGTGCAACCATCACCAATATCCATTGCCAAATTTTCCATCACCATAAACAGACGCTAAGTGCTTTCTTAACAACAAGTCCCCCTTTCAACAGGGATCATTGCTTATTTGATTTTTTTTTTTTTTTTTTTTAATTACTAGTCCCTAGGCAAGTTCTGCTGGATAAGTGGAGACTGAGTGGGAGACCTGGCAGATAGCTGTGTTTGGGGAACAGTGAGGGTGGGAAGATGCTACATAAGTGCTAGTTGAATGAACTAATCAAAGTAGTGTCTTCACTGAATTGATCAGCCAGTTGCAGAGATGGCTTCCTTAGCCTCTACCATCTAGATCTGGAGCCTCCACGTCTCCATTTCTTCCACCTTTGCCTCCTGCCCAGGGACACCTGGCTCTGACTTGTAGCCCATGTCTTCTTTTGTTACTTATCTTCTGAGTGTTCATGCTCATCATCTGCATGTCAGTTACTTATTTGTCCATGTTTTGATTAAATGAAGAGTTACTGATGTCTGGATAGTCCCTGGGTAGGGTAAATGGTTAATGCACTTGGCTGCTAACAGAAAGGTTGGCACTTCGGAAGAAAGGCTTGGCCATCTACTTCCAAAAAATCAGGCATTGAAAACCCTATGGAGCACAGTTCTGTCCTGACACACATGTGGTCACCATGAGTCAGAACTGATACGATGGCAGCTGGTTTTTTTTCACTGACACATACTATGTGCCAGGCACTAATTACAACCATCTTGGCACACTGGCTCCCAAAGGACAGAGACAACACTTAGGAAATCTTCTCTGATCCTAGTTCAGTGTCCAGATGGTCCTGGACCTGGTTCCAGAAATGAACCAGGGGGTGTGAGTTTCAGAAATGAGACAGAAAATTTTAAAAACAAACAAACCTCTATTTTATTAAAAATGTACAGTTTGGGGACTGAAGGAGAGAAGTAGTGTTTCTCAAAGTTCTAGGACCACTTAGCAACACCCAGAGTGTCTGTTTAAAAGTATCCGATGGACACCTGCATTTGTAACAAGTTCCCATGTGATTTTTAGTCACCTTGAAGCTTGAGAATCACTGGCTATGGGATGGAGATGGGACTGGTACTGTCTCGGTCCTTCTGTTTTTTTAAGGTTCCAGGCAGGGAATCACTGGACTTTTTGTGCACAAGCTCAGCTGATTCATCTGTGGATTCCTGGCTTTCCTTTCTTTGGGTCGTCGAGGCACTGGAAGAGTTAATACAGTTACAGGTGGAGGAGTAGCTCAGGCACAGCCTGGGAATGTGAGCGCCCATCCAGCCCACCCAAGAACCTCCGTGGTCATCTCTGGGAGACAAGCCCAGAGCTGGGCCAGATGTGACCCAGACATGGAACTGCTTAACACAACATTTCTGCCAAATCCCAGGAGCTCTGCTTCTCTTCTTGTGAATCCTACCTCCTGTCTTGCTTCACAGAATACCTCCTCTTCCCTCCCCTGATTCTTTCTTTTCCTTCCTGCCCATCCATGTTTCTTCCTGCCCGCCCCCACCTAATCTCTTTCCCAAATACCAAGACACCAAGCCCTCTCGTCTGTCTCAAGTGTGGGACATCTGGGCGAGTCTGTGCTTATGTGCATCTCGGAGCACACCTGTGTCCGGCTGTGTACTCTACTGTGCAGAAACAGGCCCTCGGCAAGGCAGGGCTGGGCAGTTAAAGATTTCTTTGCAGTTGCAGACAGCTTTTGGTGTGTGCAGACATCCACAACTATCTGACCTGTCAGGCAGCGAGCCCCAGGGGAGATGCTTGTAAGATAAAGCAGAGAAAGCTCTTGGAGAAGAGAGCCTGCTGGGTTTTGAGGGACACAGTCTTCCTAGTGTCCCAAACCACAGAGGGAGGATGGATAGCCCTTCCCCACATGCTGAGAGGGCACCCGAGCAGGCCTGGAGGTGGGGTGGGCTGTCAGTGCAAGTCAGACCAGGAAAATGGGGCAGTCAGCGGATGAAGTCAGTCCTGGCTATGAAACTGGACTGTGCTGTGAACGAGACAGTACGGCCAGGGGAACTGGCGAGGTCTGCTGGGCTGCAAAGTGGTGAGTGACCTGGACCCACATAGCAAGTGGACATGAGGACTCATGGGGGACCGGGGCAGGTGGCCAAAGAGAAGATGTACTTTGGGGAGTGGACACAGAGTGTCTCTAGAAGGACACACACAGAGTGCTCACAAGGAAAGTAGCACGACCCCCACCCCCGAGAAAACAGTAGCCCTGACAGTGTCAGAGAGCTGCTATTAAAGAGCAGCAGGTCCTTGGGCCATAATAATGCGATCCTAGGACAACACGGGGAGTCCCTGTACTGAAACATCGGAGACCAGCCTGACACCCAGGTAGGTAGTGCCAGCCTGTGGTATAGATAAAGAAGCAGGGGCAGCAGGGCTTTGCCTCTACATCTAATAGTGTGATAAATTGAATAAACTTGTATAGAGTTGGAAAAGAGGGGAAAAATTGTATTCACCTAAATTCCCTTAGAAAGGGAAAGCTGTCTTTGCTGGGAACAATATTCTGATAAGTGCTTAGGCTAGAAGCTGAGATCCTGGTGGAGGCCTGGATGTGGGAGGAACAGCTCTGCTTGAGACATGAAGAAATTTTAGAATTTGGCATGCTACACCAAAGAGGGAGAGGATGAGAGAGGGAAAGAAAGAGGGCTACTTTGAGGTGCTGTTCCATGTGAATTCCTTTCCCCATCATCCCCATAAATCTTCAGAGTTACTAAAATCACGAAATGCTTGGGGTCAAGTGGAGCGTGTGCACGCGTATATTAATGTGTGAGAAGAACAAAGGGGTTGGCCTCAGATTCCAACAGATGCTGGGCAGAGCGCAGACACTGGCCAGGATGCGGAGAGGCGAGGCAAAAGGAGCTCAGAGAGGTGAGCCAACGCTATGGGGAGTACCGTGGGCAAGTTTAGCCAAATCTCCAAGAGGTGCGACCCCAGCTGACTTCTGTGTTACTGAGTTCTGCCACTGTGTTGGTTATTCCCATTTCTGTTTGCTCTGTCCAAACCCCCAGTTTAAAACAAATAAAACAACAACAACAACACCACGCACACACTTTGGGAACTCTTCAGAAATTGAAAACCAGATATCTACCCACTAGGCGGGGGCAGTGGCAGTGGTAGAATTCTCGCCTTCTGTGCAGGAGACCCGAGTTCAACTCCCTGCCAATGCACCTTAAGCACAGTGGAACCTTGTATGTTGTGATGATGCTGAACAGGTTTCGGTGAAGCTTCCAGACTTAGACAGTGCGGTGCAATGGATCACTTTTGTGTGGCCTTTCTTGCCATGGTCTTGTAACATGGTGCAGATAAGGTAATTGTGGCCCATCAAGGGGATTGGTCAGTTTTGCCATCCAGCTGGGCTTGAAATAAGGCATCTCAGAGGCAGGAAAGAGAGGATCCCATCACCACCAATGAAGGAGAGCCAAGAGCAGAATGTGTCCTTTGGACCCAGGATCCCTGCTCCAAGAAGCTCCTGGAACCAGGAAACGGAGAGAGAGCTGTGACACTGAACATGGCGAGAAGCGGTGGCAGAGAGATGGCCGAAGGATAGACCAGCAGGACAGACCGGCAGGAGACCATGCAGTAGGCTTCCCGGCCCACAGAGCAAGAAAGCTGAGTGCCTTTGGGCCGAGGGGGCCCTGGTGGTGCAGCGGTTAAGGGTTAGGCTGCTAACCAAAAGGCTCGAACCCACCAGCTGCTCATTGGAAATCCTATGGGGCTGTTCTATCCTGTCCTAAAGGGTTGCTATGAGTGGGAATCGACTTGACGGCAATGGGTTTTTTTGGTTTGGGCCAAGACTTGAGTAGGGTGCCTCTGCACTTATCAGCAGGGGCTAAAAGAGCTTTATAACACTTGCCTGAGCAGGGCACAGACTGAGGGGCCAGAGAGAGGCGTGCCTGAGGCATGACTGGGAAGAAGCTGTCCTGATGGGAAAATTGTATCTTAAGTGTTCCTGAACCTGAATTGTAACCTGTTACTTCCCTAATAAACCCTATAATCATAAGTATTGTCTGAGTTGTGGGTGGCCTTTGCAATGAATTATTGAACCCAGCAGAGAAGCAGAGAGCTCCGTGGGAGGGACGGTTGGTGTCAGAATTGGTAAAGATGGTGGAGAGAGAAGGAATGTCTGACCTCTGCCTCATAGGAATCATCCTTGGGCTGTTTATCTTGATTTTCCTTCCCCCTTGTGAAATTAGAGAAGATCAGATGCCACCCCCATGCCATTTTTATAGACAGACTAGGAAGAAAGGCCTGGCAATTTAATTCCAAAAATCAGTCAATGAAAACCCTATGAACTCTATGCACTTGGAACAACAGAGGATGAAGGAGAGTCAGGAATAGGTGGAGGATATGGAATATGTGGCTAATTGCCTCCATGAACAACTGCTTCTTTTGCCATGAGATCAGAAGAACTGATGGTGCCCAGCTATCATTACTGAGCATTTTGATCAAAGATTCTATAGAATCCTGATCAAAAAGGGGAAAATGCAGAACAGAATTTCAAATTCTCATGGAATCCAGACTTCCTGGAGCCATTAAGGTTGGATGAACCCCTGAAACTGTTGCCCTGAGATAAGCTTTAAACCTTAAACCAAAAATATCCCCTGAAGTCTTCTTAAAACCAAACAATAGTTTAGCTTAACTAGTAAAAAATGTCTGACTTAAGCATTATGCTCTTTTAAGAACTACCTATATGGGATTAAATTGACAACAGCAACTCGAAAGATTGTATAGGAACCTTAGGGTGCAGTGAGTTTATGTTAATGGGGGAGAGAATAACTCAGAAAAGGAGGGTAAAAGTGGTTACACAACTCGAAGAATGTAATCAACGTTGCTAAATGGTACGTGTAGAAATGTTGAATTGGTGTATGTTTTGCTGTATATATTCTCAGTAACAACAACAAAATAAATTATATTAAAAAAAAAAAAAACCTATGGATCACAATGGTTTGATCCCATTGTGCATGGGGTTGCCATGAGTCAGGGCCAACTTGACAGCAGCTAACAACAACAGCAATCCACTAGGTAGGCTATAATGCTGATGTCCAGCTGGGACTCTCAGGCCTGTTTCGTAGTGGAGGCACAGCCAGAGACTGACTTTCTTTGATGCTCCACACCACCCTGTCTTAGAGAATGCCCTATCTGGACAGTGGCAGCAGCACTAGCATCTTGCAGCTCTTGGTTCCGGTTAGGTCTGGCATGGCGGGCATCAGTGCCCTCTTCCTGTCAGGGATCTTTGATTGGGCCAGGGCCACAAGAGCAGATGGGATTGGTGATCTAGAAAGGTTGCTTGAAAGAAACTTTAGTTCTCAATTTTCAAGCCAAGGCATCAATAGTGACATCCTCAAGTTTAATCTTCAAGCTTCTTGTTGGCTTTCTGAGTCCTGCCTTCCTCCCCTGAGCTGCTCTTCCCAGGGACAGTTCTTGAAGACAGTAAGGAGAAGAAAATGCCAAAGATGGCCGAGGCCCAAGTCTGATGTATCATCTGACTCAAGGTCTCCCTCATTTCTCCATTCCTATACCTGGCTCTCCCACAGGCCTAGGGCAAGATGTGGCTTTTTAGCAACTCACGTGCAGCCCAGGAAACAAGTAGGAAGGAAAAACTTCTGTAAAGTTGTAATACTATGTAAAGTCTTTTGAGAAAAGTAACATGGTGTTGGTGTGGGGACTTAAGCTGATGGCACACGAGCATCTCTCTGTTGATGTAGGACAATACATGGGGTCGTTATTAATGTTTGGAAAGAGATATCTTGGTCCCTTAGACAGGGACAGCATGCACTGTGGCCCCTGCCTTGGTGGGCAGGTCCCCCGGTATGCAGATGAACCATCCAGCCTTGCACTTACCAGGTCTTGAGGGACATCAAGCTTTTGTGGTAGGAGGAATGCACATCCAGTGCCAACAGCCGGGGAATGTCGGGGTACCCCCCTAGCTGGTCCCACTGTAGGCTTGGGGGAGTCTTCTTTTCTATTGGGTGGCTGGATGAGGCCACATCAGTCTTCCAGACGGCCTCCATCTGACTCCCCTGTTGGCTGGGGGGCAGAGGGGTAAAAGAGACAAAGAGTTTGACACAGAGAGAAAGAGACTCAGAAGGAACAAGCTGTCCAGAACCACAAGGCCCAAGATACTGGGCCCTGTTTTCTTCCCTTCTCAAAGAGAGTTTGTCACTGCCCTCCTTGTCACACCCCACCCCTCACACACTGACTCTACGTTTCACCTCCCTGGGCTCCTGTGGCTGAGGAGCTGCTGGAAGAGGCCACCATGGTAGCCTTTGTGCCTCCAGTACATGGCCTGGGGCTGGAGCGCTGAACCAGCCACACTAGGGTGAGTGTGGATGTGGATCTTCTCAACTGCTCAAAGGCTCACAGGCATCTCTTTTTAAGCCTGGAGTGGGATGTTCACATGGTAGGAAGGATCAGGCTTGTTTATACGGACAGACCAATGGCAGGTGCTGGATGGATGCTCAAAGTAGAAATTGCTGTCAGTTCTCAGCTGTGGGTCCTCAGAGTCTTTCAGTTTCATAGTTCGAAACACACTGGGTCAGGCTGGCCCCTGAAGCCCACACACCATGACATACATGCCCCTCTGGTCTGTGGGCCAGAGCTGGGCAGGGCAGTGGAGAAGACAGATGCCTGTGAGCTCTGCATGTCTGTGCCCTTGCTGAGCCACCAGCCCCCCAGCCTGGCCACCCCTGTACCTTGCCATCTGGCATCCCCACTCATCCAGCTGGCTGCCCCACCCCCCGGCTTCCCTGCACCTACCGGGCCATCCTCAGGGGCACACATTCCCGCTGCTTGGATGTAAAGTGCTCCAGGGGCTGCTTGCAGGAGGGGCCACTGGAATGGATGCGCCGGGGGAAGGCTGGGGGCGACTTGCTTTTCCTTGGCTTTGGGGAGGTGACCACAGGGGTGTTTAGGTGAACGTTCCACTCTAGCTGGAGCTAGTAGGACCAGCAAAGAGGCATCAGGGAGACAGGAAGTTATCCCCTCTCTAGGGTGGGAGGAAGCATTGTCTGACTGTTGGTGTCGTTGCTGGGCTTGGGCTGAGCAAAGAGGGTAAGGCCTAGGGAATCACTCCAATTAGAAACCCTTGGGGCCCTGGAAAGATCTCTGAGAGCATCTGCAGGGTTCATGGCATGATGCCAGGTTGTGCCTGGCATGCTCTATGTACATTTTCATCTGGTCCTGGCCCTGGCATTGGGCAAGGAGCTGGGGGAACCCTCACAGCCAAAGAATTGTCATATGGTCCCTTTCTTTCTCAACCCAAAACAAATTTAACAAGTCAAGACACCTACAGGAGATTATCAGGACTGATAGAAGGTGATATGAAACTGAGTTGGGAGAAATGTCCATGACCAAGGCCCTTCCAACTTCCTGATGCCCACACTTGCACTGAATCCCTCAGCATGCTGCCTCCCCCAGTCTCAGGCCAGTGCTGCTCAGGACTCAGGGAGGATACCTCCTAGCTCAACTCTTCCAGAGATCTTAGCAGGTTCTGAGGTCACTTCTTTGAGATTCTCCAATCCTTCCAAACTGTTGGCTATCCCCCTGGGGACCATGTCTCTGTCTCTGGTAGCAGAGGAAACTGAAGCCAGTTCTCCTTTCCCTAACCTTCCTGAGCCTTAAACCAAGAGCTGAGGGCTGCTTGTCCCAAAGACATGATGTTGGAGAATCTACAAATGAAAGAGTCTAACAAGAAAAAGTCCAATACAACATCTAGGTCAATGGGCATAACAAAGTTTATTAAGAAAACGTTCTGCATCCCACTTTGGTGAGTGGTGTCTGAGGTCTTAAAAGCTGGTGATCGGCCATCTAAGATGCGTCAATTGGTCCCAACCCACCTGGAGCAAAGGAGAATGAAGAACACCAAAGACACAAGGAAAGTATTAGCTCAAGAGACAGAAAGGGCCACATAAACCAGAGACTTCCTCAGCCTGAGACCAGAAGAACTAGATGGTGTCCAGCTACCACCAATGACCACCGTAACAGGGAACACAACATAGGGTCCCCGATGGAGCAGGAGAAAAGTGGGGTGCAGAACTCAAATTCTAGTAAAAAGACCAGACTTAGTGGTTTGACTGAGACCAAAGTGACCCCAGAAGATATGGCCCCCAGACTCTCTGTTAGCCCAAAACTAAAACCATTCCCGAGACCAACACTTCAGATAAAGATTAGACTGGAAGATGTGACATAAAATGATAGTCGTGAAGAGTGTGCTTCTTAGCTCAAGTAGATAACATGAGACTAAATGGGCAGCTCCTGTCCAGAGGCGAGATGAGAAGGCAGAGAGGGTCAGGAGCTGGTTGAATGGACATGGGAAATCCAGGGTGGAAAGGAGGAGTGTGCTGTCACAGTATAGGGAGAGCAACTAGGATCACATAACAATGTGTGTATAAATTTTTGTATGAGAGACTAACTTGAATTGTAAACCTTCATTTAAAGCAAAACAATTAAAAAAAAAGAAAAAGTCCAATACACCATAGCTAGTGCAGAAAACTATTCCTGCCACATAAAAGGATGGCTATGGATGTAAACTTAGTGCTTGTATACTAGGGACACAGTTATTAATGATCCCAAAGAGTATGCATTCTTACTTGTTGGGTTGGTTACTGTTTTCTCCTTTGTGTGGAGAATCCGGACAGTGGGCAAAACAGCAAGGAAAAAAAATTAAAAGAAGCCAGAGAAGAAAAGTCAATATATATCATAAAGAATCAAGATAGGGAAAGATAGGAGTCTTTGATTCCAGTATCCAAAAATATTAGCTATTATCTCTTTGGCCTTGTGAGTATTTGCTTTTTATAAAATTCCTGTACTATTCTGATCCATTTTCAATGTTGAAAGGACTCCCATATGATAGTAAGTTTAAAAACAAAAATCAGTGTATAGACAATTATTGGTATATACATGGATCCATTGTCCCTCAGGGGTCCATGGCCCATAGATTAGCAATCAGTTATCTAGACCAAGAGAATAAGGAGTTTGGGTATCAGAGAATTTTTTGGACTTTAAGAGGTTTTCTGAATATGGAAGAATGGGAGAGTAGAAAAAGAAAGAGAAAATAAGCATTACTAGGATTACAAATCGGACTTCTTTAATGTTTTGAGTGACACAAAGATTGGGGTTCCTTTCTAATTATTTTTTGTTGCTGAGCGTTGTATTCCTGAATGGGATACAATGGCAAAACTGGATGATGTAGGGCCCTAGGATGTATTTGGGTTATACTTGACATATGAATGCTAGAACCATGCCTGTACATTTTGGATAGTTATCCTACTGAGCTCTGCCAAGGCAAATTGGGTGGGTTCTTGTCTAAAAAGTAAAGTTTTTCCTAGTGTCAGTTCCCAGTGGTAAAATATGGGTGCTCAGCAAGGAAGTGAAAAAGATGAGGGTAGGTCTTAGGTAGAAGGAGTGAGGGAGTGACACCTTCCATATCTGTTGGCCTAGACCAATGGTTCCTAACTCATAGGCCATGGTTTCTGAGAAGAAACAGATTTTTTTCAGAGTCCAACAATGCAAGTACATACCAAAAATTGTACACTGAGTAAATAAAAAGTAAAATTATGGTACTATCAAATAGGAATCCTTGAAACTGTTAACATTAAAAATGAATCTTAATAGTACAGGAATTTTTCTTTTTTTGTGTGCTTTAAGTGAAAGTTTACAGCTCAAGTTAATTTCTCATACAAAAATTTATACACATATTGTTATATGACACTAGTTGCAATCCCCACAATGCGACAGCATACTCCCCCTTTCTACTTCGGGTTTCCTGTGTCCATCCAACCAGCTTCTCATCCTGCCTCCGGACAGGAGCTGCCCATTTGGTCTCGTGTATCTGCTTGAACAAAGAAGCACACTCCTCATGAGTATTGTTTTATGTTTTATAGTCTGAAGAGTGGGCTTCGGGAATGGTTTTAGTTCTGGGTTAAAAGAGTGTCCAGGGACCATGGCTTCGGGGGTTCCTCCAGTCTTAATCAGACCATTAAGTCTGGTCTTTTTACGTGAATTTGAGTTCTGCTCCCCACAGGAATTTTTTTAAAAGACATGTCGTCTTGTTAGTTGCTGTCAAGTCAGCTACAACTGAAGGCAACCTTATGTATAACAGAACAAAACATTGCCTGGTCCTGGCTATAATGGAATAAGAGGGACTAGATATACCTTTCTGCCTTAAACAACTAATAAACCAAACAAAATATATGAAACAACGATTTTCAGACATTGGACAACAGGCAGTGAAGGTCAGTGATACTTGACAGAAGGGAAAAAAGTGAGGTGAGAGCTTCTATTGCCCCAGCTTATTGCCTGGAGAGAGTGCCTAGGCTATAGCACAGGGAGAGGGAACGCAGAGCCCAATAGCCTTGCTGAGTTGAGGAGACAGAGTTCAGAGTTCAGGGAAGCCAAGGTGACTAGAATTTGCAGAGTAGAATAACAGAATAACAGAAATTATGCAGAGAGAAATCTCCAAACCTCTGAAGTGGGGCCCCTCAAATCTTTGTGCATGCATCTGAGGAAACTACCAAGGTGGAGGAGGAACCACTGGAAAGGAAAAGGCAGAAAAATCTTCAGAGTTCACACAGGACCAGGAAGAGTTTGTGTCCACATATCTTTAACATACTGGAAGAAAAAAACGTCAACCTAGAATCTTACACCCAGCAAAAATACTTTTCAAAACTGAAGGCTAAATAAAGACTTTTCCGTCATACCAAAGCTAAGAGAATTCATTGCCAGCAGACCAGCACTATGAAAAATGTAAAGGAAATCCTTCAGGCAGAAGGAAAATTATAGAGCAGTGGAATAAAGTGCACCGGGAATGGTAAATCTGTGGATAAATAATTTTTTATTGTCTAAAAATATACTGATTATTGATTGTCTAAAGCAAAAATGATAATGTATTGTGGGATTTGTAACATACACAGAGCTAAAATATATGACAACAATAGGACAAAGGCCAGGAGGAAGAAATAGATGTACACTGTTGTAAGTGTCTTATGTTATATGCAAAATGATATAATATTACTTAAAGATAGACTGTGATAAGTTAAAGATTTATATTGTAAATCCTAGAGCAACTGTTAGAAATAACAAAACAGAGACGTATAACTAGTCATCAAGAGTGGAGATAAAATGGAATCATTAAAAACCCAATTAATCCAAATGAAGTCAGAAAAAGAAGAAGAAAGTGATTAAAGAACAAGTGGGACAAACATTAAAAAAAGAGCAAGATGGTAGACTTAAACTCAACAAAATTCATCATCACATCAAACATAAATGATCTAAACCTTCCAAATAAACGGCAGAGATTGTCAGACTGTATAAAAAGCAAGACCCAACTATATGGTGTCTACTAAAGACTCAATTTAAATATAAAAACATGGAGAGATTAAAAGTAAAAGAATGGAAAAGATATGCCATGCAAATACTAATCAAAAGAAGGCTGGAGTGACTATGTCAATATCAGACAACATAGATTTAAGAATAAGGAATATAACCAAGGATAAAACGGTTATTTTGTAATGATTAAAGGGCATTTTTTCAAGAGTACGTAACAATCTTAAATGTGCACGCACCTAATTACAGAGCTTCAAAGTACATGGAACACAAACTTCTAAAACTGAAAGTAGACAATCCATCATTGTAATTTGAGATATCTACACCTTTCTCAATACTTGATAGAACAAATAGTCGGCAAATCACACAGAAGACTTGAACAACACTATCAACCAACTAGACCAAATTGATATTTATAAAACATGTCACCCAGTAATAGCAGAATATACGTTGTTTTCAATTACATATTGAATGTTTACCAAGAAAGACCATGTTTTAGACAAAAAACAAAAAAAGTTTTAAATGATTGAAATCAATATATGTTCTCTGACCACAATGGAATTAAACTACAAACCAACAATAAGAAAGATGTCTAGAAAATCCTCAAATATTTGTAAATTAAGCAACACACTTCTAAATAACCCACGAGACAAAAAAAATAAGGAAAATTAAAAACTATTTTGAACTGAATGAAAACACAACATATCAAAATTTGTGGGATGCAACAAAAGCAGTGCTTAAAGGAAAATTTATAGCATTAAATGATTTTATTAAATAAAAAAAGATCTCAAATCAATGATCTAACTTTCTAATTTAAGAAACTAGAAAAGGAAGAGCAAATAGGCACAAAATAAGTAGAAGGAAGGAAATAATACAGAGTGAAAATCAATGAAATAGAAAACAGAGAAATTATAGAGAAAAATCAATAGAACCTGAAATTAGATCTTTGAGGGGATCAATATAATTGTTAAACCTCTGACCAGACTTACCAGGAAAAAAAGAGAAAAGACTTAAGTTACCAATATCAAGAGTGAAAGAAGGAATATCACTACAGATCCTGCAGACATTAAAAGACTAAATAAGGGAATATTATAAAGAACTTTATGCCAACAAATTAAGATGAAATTAAAACAATTCCCTAAAAGACAAACTACCAGATCTAACTCCAGAAGAACTAGATAACCTGAATATCTCTACATCTGGTAAAGAATTTAATTTGCAGTTGAAAACTTTCCCAAAAAGAAAACTCAACACTCAAATTCTACCAAATATTTAAGGTACACTACACATTTAAGTAAGACATAATACTCGTTTTACACAAACTCTTCCAGAAAATATAAGAGGGGGGAACATATCCCAACTCACTCTGTGAGGGCGGTATTATCCTGATACCAAAATCTGGCAAAGACATTACAAGGAAAAAACAAAACTACAGACCAGTATCCTTCATGTAGTAGATGTAAAAATTTTAAACAAAATTTTAGCAAATCAATTCTAACATCAGATAAAAAAGATAATACATCATGACCAAGTGGGGTTTATCTCAGGAATAAAAGATTGATTTAAAATCAATAACATGAAAATTGAAAGCTCAAATTTTATCATTAATAACAAATAGTGCTGTCAGTTTTTTTGGTTTTTGTTGTTTTCCTTTTAAGTGACAGGCTTGCTTCATTCAATTTTGATAAAATATCTGCCTAATACAATCTTTCCACCTTTCTTTCAAGTAAAAATGGTGCTCCATGAACAAAGCAGTTCAGTTTGCAATCCACAAAATCCCTTTTCCTCAAGACAGTCCTTGTACTTTTATGTGCTGCAGAAGTACTTTATGCATATTTCCCATGTTGTCACATAGAATATTAAAAAGAGGTGTACTTAGAGGTTGAGATTAATAATTTCTAATGCTCTTGTCTATGTTATGGATTGAACTATGTCCCCCAAAAATGTGTGTCAACTTGGCTAGGCCATGATTCCCAGTACTATGTAGTTGTCCACCATTTTGTCATCTGATGTGATTATCCTATGTGTTATAAATCCTAACTTCTATGATGTTAATGAGACAGGATTAGAGGAGTTATGTTAATGAGGCAGGGTTCAATCTACAGCATTAAACTGTATCTTGAGTCAAGCTCTTTTGAGATATAAAAGGAAGAATCAAGCAGAGAGGAGAGGGACCTCATTACCACCAAGCAAGAAGAGCCAGAGTGGAGCGTGTCCTTTGGACCCAGGCTCCCTGTGCTGAGAAGCTTCTAGACCAGGAGAAGATTGATGACAAGGACATTCCCCCAGAGCTGACAGAAAGAGAAAGCCTTCCCCAGGAGCTGGCACCCTGAATTCAGACTTCTAGCCTCCTAGATTGTGAGAGAATAAATTTCTCTTTGTTAAAACCATCCATTGAGGTATTTCTGTTATAGCAGCACTAGATAACTAAGACAATCTAATATTCCTAAGTAAAACATTTGACATTCCTAAGTGAAACTGCCTTTTTTTTTTTTTTTTAAAATCACGAGTTTGTGGTGAAGAAGAATACAATGACCACTAGTACAGTTTGGTGCCACTGTCTTGATTTATGCTAAGGTGCCACCAGTTTTACCCATTACTGCTTTTGCACTATTACTGCAAATGTCAGCTCAGTGAAAAAGGCGAGTAAAATCTTATCATCATGAAAATAGTCTTGACCTCATGGAGCCCCTGAAAGGGCCTAAGGATCCCTAGGGGTCAGTGGACCACATTTTGAGAACCGATGTTTAATTTAGAAGACATTGCAAAACTGAAGAACAAAAGTTTCCAAACTGAAAGAACCAACTAAATGCCCAACAAAATGGATAAAAATAGCCCCACATCAGGCACACCATCATGAAGTTATGGAATACTGGAGACAAAGAGGATTCAGCCAACTTTCAGAGAGTAAAAATAGGTCAGACCTAAAGGAGTAGGACTCAGAATGACTTTGGACTCTCAACAGCAACACCAGAACCTAGAAGGCAACGAGCAGTGCCTTCAAAATGGTGAGGGAAAATTAATTCTAACCTGGGATCCCATGCCCAGGAAACTATCAATTAAGAGTGAGGGTAGATGTTAAATACATTTTCAGACAACCAGGGTGTCTCAGTGGTTTTACCTCCCATGCATTCTTTGTCAGGAAGTGAGTGGAGGAGGTGCTTCACTAAAACAAGGGAGTAAAGCAAGAAAGAAGAGACCTGGAATCCAGAATCCAGGGGAGCTGACCCAAGAGAGAAGCAAAGCGAGTCCCCAGCAGGAGGGTGAAGGTTGATCCCAAGATGATGGTCATGCTCTAAAGCCTGGAGAGGAAGCCAGGAGTAGAGCAGACATAACCACAGGGGAGGGAGAATTCCAAGACAAAGTTAGCACTGAAGGATCCAGCTACCCTCACCCCTCCAGGAGGGTCTTTTCTTCCATAGCTCTTTTTGAAGAGTCCCTCTTTCTATCTCCCAAGATTGGAGAAAGTCACCCTTCCTTACACTTTGGTCACATACCGCCTCCCCCCTACCCCTGCCACCTTCACCTGTGGTTCAGAGGCTTTAACCTGTGCCCTCATTTCCCATCTGCTTCAGCCGAAGTCACACCCCCAGATCCCCACTAGCTCCATCCCTCCTGGCTGTGCTTCCTTTGCTGACACAGAGGAGTCATGGGGCAGGAGGCCCACCTTGGGGAATATGGTCACCATGCTGCTCAGACACTCTCGGCGCTTCTCCTCCAGGTCCTTCTGTTTTTTTGTCCAGGTCTGCAGCCTGAGGTTCTGAAGGTGGTCAGTGTTTTCCAGGAAGACATAGAGGCTCTGGGCCTTATAGGTAGCCCCAGTTATTCTCATGACTTGAATGTGGTCGATCACTTCTTGTCTACGAAGTGAAAAGTAATTAGTGGGTGGAGAGGTCTCTTCCCACCCCCTAAGCCTGTTAACCAGGGATGACTGTTTTCTGTAATTCCTGGGAGCAATAAGAGAAACAGAAGTAGGTGAGAGCTGAGGAAAATAGGGAGCAGGGAAGTGGGAGGTGGTATCAGATGAGAAGCCTCCAGGAAGAGAAAGTAAAGCCAAATAAGGAGCACATATTAGGTGGGTTATGGACAGGGTGATAGGAAGGAATAGGGAAGTGGGCTTAGAGGAAAAGCTCACTATAGGGAGACCAATATGTAAGTGCCCTATCCCCCATACCTTCAAGGGTTGCCCAAGGCCCTGAGGCCAGGCATCCTTTGCCAGTCTCCTCCCTCAGGGAGACCTTGTCCAGCCCTGGGGTGACTCTCCCCATCCTCCCTTGCCCCATGATCTTCTCTCCTGTTGGGTTTTGGCTCTGTCTATACATCACAGTGAGTGTGGATGTGTGCCTGGTGGGTATGGGTGAGCTCGACCTACCGGAGCCTCTGAAAGCGTCTGTAGGTGATGTACTTATGGCATAGGTACTGCAGCCTGAGCGAGTTCAGCTCCATGGTGGTAGTGGTGAGCTCTAAGGCTTTGTTGCGCAGGTAGTGGGGCAGCCCCAACTCAGCCTCCTTACTCAGGATCTCTAGGTTCTTCCTCTGGGCCTCCATGTCCATCCGGTACACCTTCTCCTTAGGAGATACCAAGGATGTCTGCAAAAAGGGCCGTGTCACCTTTCGGATGGATGTCCCAGTGACAGGAAAGGAGGATGATTTCTTGGGCTTTGTGGGAAGCCGAGGCGTCCGTGGTTTGAGGGCAGGCTCTGCTGAACTCATGGTCCTCTGGCTTCCTGGGGCAGACTGCTGGATACTGGGGGACCTGGGCAAGTATGATCTCCTGCCTTGGCGAGCAGATTGGACTCGGCTTGGAGGAGGCGCCAGTGATGGTTCTGCCTTCTCCAATTCCCTGCATCGACTGGTAGGCATGAAGATCATCCTCTCTGTGTCCTCCCTTGGCTTCTCTGGCTCCCTCCTTGGGATCTCTTGCTCCTTCTCTGGCTGAAGGAATCTCTGTCGCTGCTCCCTCACCGTCTCCTCCATCTCCCACTGCCGCAACTTCTCCTGGTGCTCCTGCTCCAGCAGGGACCACTTTTTCTGCCGCTGCAGCCACATCTCCTCCTCCTCCAGCCACTGCTGCCTCCTCTTCTGCCAGCTGAGTTCCTCCTCCCAGCGCCCCTCCTCGCTCTCTGAAGACTCATTCCTGGAGCTCTCTGGGGACTGCTGCTTCCTAAAATAGAACTTAACTCGGAGTTCTCCCTTCTCCTGGGCTTCTTCCTGAAAGAGGTCCTCCTGGTCTTCATCTTTGTGACCTGGCCTTATTGCCACCAGTCTTTCCCATGTCTTAGGAAACTTGTAATCCACTGAGGGTGGCAATGCAGGTGGGAGGCTTTCGATGTCCTTGCTGCGGTACACATCTGCAATCCTCGTATGTGTTGCCATGATGGAAAGTGGCTGATATGCTGAAGGTGTACCATCACTGTCCCAGGCCGTAGCTATGGGACTTGGAGAATGTGGTAAAAACAACTGCTCCTCCTTCTTGGGCTCCTGCTGAGGGACCAAGACTCTTGTTGGGAGCTCCATGACTGTTTCTTTCTTTGGAAGGGTCTCTTTCTCAGGGGGATCTGGGGTGTCAACAAAAGTCTTGACCGAGTCTTCTTCTTGACCTCTAGCACTCTGAATTTTCTTCAGCTGGAACTCTAAAGCATGCTTAATCAGGAGAAGGTCGTGGTACTTTCCCCCTATAATTTCTACCTGTTTCAGGAGGGCATCCCTCTTGTTCTCAAGGATTTTGAGAGACTTCTGGAAGTACAGCCTCTGGCTGCTGAGCTCTTTGGACATCTCTATTTTCATGTACCTATATTTGGTCTCCAGGGTCCTATTCTCCTTATGCTGGAGTATCAAGGCCTTGTTGAGGTTTTCCACCACGGCGGACATGTACCTGATAGCCCTGACCTCCCCCTTATTGAACATGGTGGAGTCCAGGAGCTCCTGCAGCATGGACTTCACCTCAGAGACCCTTGAGCAGGTAGTTTGCTTGTCCTGGAGCATTTCCTCTGGACTCAGTGGCTGAGGTTCGGGTGGAGATTTTTGTGGGCTCTTTTCCCGCCAGCCCTGCCAGAAGGTATGCCTGGACACTGGGGGGTGGAGGGGAGTAGGGGTGGAGAGAACAAAGGCAACAAGCTCCCATGGGGCCCAAGGATTATACTGATTGTCCAGACCCTGCTTGACCAAAACTCCGATCCAACCCTCTTAGGGATTTGGCAAGAATAAGGAGCTGAGACTGTACTTAGGCCAGGGAGGTGTTGTCAGGAATGCTGTCTGCCAGGCCCAGAGTGTGCCAGAGCCTATCTCTCAGACTCTGCGAGCTCCACAGAACCACAGGGTCTGGAAGGGCTGGGACTAGTCAGTCCAGTTCACTTCAGTTCAACATCCTCCTGATCTGCCATATTCCCCTGGATTAGTTACTTTTCTGATCATGCCACTTTCCAGCCTCAACATCTATATTTGGCTCCCTATTTCCAGTATCCAAACTCTGGAAGCCTGCCTGACACTTAAGATTCCAGAGGACCTAAGATGCTTCATTTGCCTTTTCTGTTACCATTGGACTGTGTTTATAGAGAATTTATCACATAGTCCTGTAGCTGTTCGCATGTTTGTGTGTGTGTTTTTTTAATTAGTCAAGTGTTTGCCTCCCCGCTATTTGGGGGGTTCTGAACTCCTTTGATAATCTGACAAAAGCAGTGGACCCTCTCCCCAGGAAAATGCACATAGATGCAGAATGTGCACATTGTGCTCAAATCCACTCATAAACCTTAGCTCCTCAAGGGCTGGATCTTGGTCACATTTGTACCCCTTAGGCTGGTGGAGTGCTGACCTCGGAGCACCCATTCATGTGCTCATTCCACAAACATCACTGGCAGAAAACACAGTGGCTAACTTTGGATGAGAAGCCAAAGGAAATATGGAAATTAAGTGACATTGAAGTCAAGCTAGCATCTAGCTAGTATTATCAGGGAGGCTGTATGTCCTCATGGTTAAGAGCTTGGACACTCAAATCAGGTAACTTGGGCTTAATTCCATTCTTCCCACTTGCCTTGAGCAAATCCCTAACCTCTCAGTGCCTCAGTTTCTTCACCTGAAAAATGGGAATAATCATAGCAACTGCTTCATAAGACTTAATTAGTTCACCATTTCTAGTGCCAAGCACAGTATCAGGTACCTACTAAGTGCTCAATAAATAATCCCTTAAAAAAATGACTGTGTTACAGCCTTTGCCTTCCAGGATTTTATAATCTAGCAAGGAAATAAATCAAGTATGCAAATAAGTATATTCCAAGACATAACATGGCAAGGATTGTAGAAGAGATTGTCTCCTTCTCATCTACCTTTCCCTGCCTCTCCTTTGACCTCTAATTGACCTTTCATAACTGATAATGAACCTGGCCAGTGAGAATGAGAATGGTAACACACTAACATTAGCTACTGCTTATTAAGCCTTGTTCCAAGCATGGTGCCTGATGCCTCACACTGTGTTCAAGCCTCCCCACAACCCTGCAGGTAGACGGTATCCTCCTCATTTTACATGAGGAAGTTGAGGCTCAGAGAGATGAAGTAATTTGCCCAATGTCACACTGCCAGAAATTGGCAGAGATGGGATTCAAACTCAAGTCTGTCTGACTCCAAAGTCCATGCTCTTGAGTAAGATTAAGAAGCCAGAAAACCTACATGTGGGGTAGCTTTCTTTGTGGTCCCTTCTCTCACTTTCAGTTTTCTCATCTGCAAAATGTAGGAGCTGAATAATCTCAGATCCTTCCGAAGCCTGATAGGAGTAAAGTTCCAAGGTTCAGCCATGTTGTTGACTGACTGACTCTGGAGCAGCCACAATCCAGAAAGTTCTGGAAGGGCATCTGGCTGAACTTCACCAGACTTCTTGGTGCTACAGCTATGTTTGGTGTGAGGAAAGAATGTTTCTCAGGTTCTAGCTGCAAACTCCAGCATTCCTGGTTTTCTAGCCTTATTCCCCAGAACCCCCATGAGGTCACAGCTCTAGGGAGCACTCACAGAGACCAGTCTCTACATCACCCCTACCTCCAGCCCTGAGGGACAGCTCAGAACTGCTCAGTGCTGAGCTTGGCTTCAATACCCTACCCTCTCACCACTCCTACCCATCTCAGGTAAAGCTTTTGTTATGGAGGAAGGTCAGAGAGACTGCCATAGACCCCAGTGTGTGGCTTCCTCCCTGAGATAGCATCCACCCTACTCCCACCAAGCCCCTTCCCAGGTGCTCCTAGAACCTACTTTGTGTCTTTTTCTTTTGTTCTTCAATGAGAGTGGAGCAAAGGGAAATGAGAGACTCAATGCCTCCCTTGGTGGCAATGAGGGAGAGAGGCAGTACTTTCTCCATCACCTCAATCCATTCGTCCAGGGCTTCCTCTTCCTTCTCACTCTTTCTGTTCCTGATCTCGTAGGTCAGACTGTCACCTGGAGAAGGAGTGGGAGGTTCAGGCTGAGAACAGTCTGTCCTCTAGGGAGGCCCAAGCAACCCTATAGCACAGGGGTGATGCTGGCAGGCTTTGAGATCGGGTTGGTTTCACCTCATATTAACTGTGTGATGTTGGGCAAGTTACTTATTTCCCTGATCCTCGGTCTCCTTGCTTGTAAAAGAGTTGGGTGAGGATTAAATGAGATAATATATGTGAAATGATTACTATGAGGTCTGTCATGTAGAAAATTACACTATAGATATTAAATATGCACTGGTGGCTCAATAGTTAAGCTCTTGGCTGTTAACCGAAAAGTTGGTGGTTTGAACCCACCCAGCAGCTCCCTGGGAGAAAGACCTGGCAATCTGCTCCTGTAAAGCTTACAGCCAAGAAAATCCTATGGGGCCGTTCTACTCTGTCAAAGGGGGTTGCTATGAGTCGGAATCGACTCAACGGCACCTAACAGCAACAACAACATTAGGGAAGGGACGTGTCTATCTTGTTATTGCTTTTTCCCCATTGCCTAATCTAATACCTGGACAGTTAAAAAAATTAACTGGAATCAACAGCCCTGCTTAGTTCCTGGGGGCAGCCAAGGGATCACTGAACTGAGAGCTCCCTGGGGGCAGCATAGTGTGGGGGTGGCAGGGCCCATTCCTATAGCAACCTCCTTCAACACTACAGCATCCACCACACCTCACAGTAGACTGAGGTCTCGTGATGGGATGACTCTAATCTGAACAGGTGAGAGCACTGGCTCCAGGGCTGTATTCAGCTGGTGCACACCTGTATGATTGCATGTGCCAGTTGCTTCCAGCTAGCCTCAGGTCTGTTTGGCCCAGTGCCCATATAGTTATGGTCAGTCAGTGCTTTGAATATCACCTTTGGGCTCCTCTACAAATAGTGTGTTTGTTTTGTTTTTTTTTTAATTGCACTTTAGATGAAGGTTTACAGAGCAAACTAGTTTCTCATTAAACAACTAATACACATATTGTTTTGTGACATTGGTTGCCAACCCCACGACATGTCAACACTCTCCCCTTCTCAACCTTGGGTTCCCCATTACCAGCTTTCTTGTCCCCTCCTGCCACCTCGTCCTTGCCCCAGGGCTAGTGTGCCCATTTAGGGTCGTTTTGTTTTATGGGCCTGTAATCTTTGGCTGAAGAGTGAACCTCAGAGTGACTTCAATACAGAGCTAAAAGGGTGTCCGGAGGCCATACTCTCGGGGTTTCTCCAGTCTCTGTCAGGCCAGTAAGTGTAGTCTTTTCTTTGTGAGTTAGAATTTTGTTCTACATTTTTCTCCAGCTCTGTCCGGAATGTTCTATTATGATCCCTGTCAGAGCAGTCAGTGGTGGTAGCAGGGCACCATCTAGTTGTGCTGGACTCAGTCTGGTGGAGGTTGTGGTACTTGTGATCCATTAGTCCTTTGGACTAGTCTTTTCCTTGTGTCTTTGGTTTTCTTCATTCTCCCTTGCTCCAGACGGGGTGAGACCCGTGGAGTCTCTTAGATTGCCGTTCACGAGATTTTAAGACCCCAGATGCTACTCACCAAAGTAGAATGTGAACATTTACTTTATAAACTATGCTGTGGCAATTGAGCTAGATGTTCCCTGAGACCATGGTCCCCACAGCCCTCAACCCAGCAATTTGGTCCCTTAGGGAGTTTGGATGTGTCTATGGAGCTTCCATGACCTTGCCATGGACAAGTTGTGCTGGCTTCCTCAGTATTGTGTACGGTCTTACCCTTCACCAGTTACCACTTATCTATTGTTTATTTAGTGTTTTTCCACCCCACCCCTCCTCTCCCTCTTAACTATCAAAGGTTCTTTCTTTTTTGTGTGTTAATCTTTTCATGAGTTTTTATAATAGTGGTCTCATGCAATATTTGTCCTTTCGTGATTAACTTATTTCACTCAGCATAATGCCCTCCAAATTCATCCATGTCATGAGATGCTTTGCAGATTCATCATTGTTCTTTAGCTAGTGTGGTTTTGAATTTAGTTTTTATCTTGCCACTTAAAAAAAGTCCCTGGGTGGCGCAAATGGTTTGCACTCAACTACTAACATAAAGGTTGGTGCGTGGAAGAAAGACCTGGCAATCTGCTTCCATAAAGATTACAGCTAAGAAAACCCTATGGGGCAGTTCTACTCTGTAACACATGAGGCCAGCATGAGTTGGAATTGACTCGACGGCAACAGGTTTGGTTTTACTGAAAAAGTAAGATGTCATAACTGACCAATGACTTCATATATGCAGCTAGCGTCATGATCTATTATGCTTTGGACAATTATGTGTTTGTCCCCCCTGAGGAAGGGGTATGATGTGTTGTGACTTGTGTGTGGAATGTTTTACTGGGGAGGGGCACTGCAATGTGTCTGGTGCTCTCCCTGCTGGCCGCACTCCCCTCTTAGCAAATGCCGACCTAGGGTAGGGAAAGGAGGAGACTGAGCTGGGACCAGCAACTTGGTGGGGGAAAGCACTGGCCCCAGGACTGTACCCAGCCTGCAAACTCACCCCAGTCACCTAGCCAGCGGAGAATTTCGTACAGGTGCTTCTCTTTAGTCTTAGCATCTTTGGAGAAGGAGGCAATTTTCTCCAGCAAGATGAATCTGTTCTTGCCCTTTTGCTCCTTCTGGTGCGATTTTGCCTTTTCTTTTAAATCATATCCTAATTCTTCCTGGAAACGGTTGATGACACAATTGA